ATTGTTGGAAGCTCAGGTCCCTTCTGTATCTCTGAAGGATACGGGGGGAAGGGAGGTTTGACATGCATTTCTGAGTGGCTATTCACTGACTCATGTCACTAACCACAGCCAGTGTGCAGCCACTTCTCTGCTGAAGTCGAGAGAGATGCCTTCCTCCCACCTGGTCCATAATCAAGCCACAAAAAAGGGTGGCTTTGGGCCCTGTTTCCTTGGTGCCTTTAACGGTGCAGCACTTGCATTTGACTTTGTTTTTCACTTGAACAAAAAACGGATGGCAGTGTGAGTGACTTCACAATGCACTGTACTTAGATACCATCTCTCCTTACTGACCTTCTCCACCCCACCCCTGTAATTCCTAATACTTACAAACTGTGTGACCTCAAACAAGTTACTCAGCCTCTCTAGTGTTTAATTTTCTCATGGGTAACATGGCAAGAAAAATATCTGCCTTTCAGTGAGGATTAAATGAGATTCCATGTAAAGGGTCTAGGGAAGGGGAAATTCCACGGTTTCTTCCTTATCACCCTTGGTGTTCCTCTGCCTCCATAAGAGTAGTAGTCAATCTGTAGTTGCTTAGATTCTCGGTCACAGACCAGGCCATTTTTCCCGGCAGTTAAGGTCACGCGTGGTGTGCTCGGATTACGCACGTGGGTATGGATCCCTCTGGGCTCTTCTCCCTTGGTCCCTATGGGACTGAGTGACGCTGATCGCAGGCTTAGAGAGAGGGAACAGCTAGGCTATATTTACACTGTGAAGGTGCAGCCTGGTTCAGCCAGTGTCCGTTTTGATTAGGCAAGGTCCTTGCTGTCCTGGTGGTTAGATATTTTTAATGTTGCCCCTGGAAAATGTCCTGTAAGCCTCCAGTTCTAGGCATGTGACCTCAGACCACCTTACCAGAGAGCGCAAGCCTAGCTAAAATTCAGGTTTACTTGTTGTCTTTAGCTGCTGTCTCCCGCGTATATTTCTTCCTCCAGACCTTGAAGGTTGGGGCATGGCTGTGCTCTGAGGTAGGATTCTGATTGGTCTTAAGCCTCTTGATCTAATATTAACTAATGGGACTCCAAACCAACCATAACATCTAACATTATTAATATTAGTAATATTTTGGTTAATTATTACTACTTAATAAACCACTCCAAAATGTAGTGGCTTAAATCAAATCAACAGTCTTTTTTTTTTTTTAATTTCTCATGATTGAGTGGGCTGACTGGTTGGTGCTCTGCTGGTCAGTTCCATTGGTCTCATTTGGGTGTCTCACATGGTTGTAGTCAGATGGCAGCTGGGGCTGGAATCTCCAGGGTTACTCATATGTCTGACACTGTGTCAGGAATGTCTGGAAGGCCAGACTGAACTGGGATGCTAGCAAGGCAATACCTCTCCTTCTCACTGTGTAGTCCCAGGGCTGCTTCCTCTTATCAAATGGTGCCCAGGGTTCCTGAAAGCCAAGAAATAGAAGCTACCAGACATTCTTAAAGCTTAGACTTGGAACAGACACAGTGTCACTTCTGCCATTTCTAACCCTTAAAGCCAGTCAAGGTCCAGCTCTGAAGGAAGGGCAGGGACTACATAAGGGTATAAGTGCTGGCCAATATGGTTGGTTGGGGGTCACCAGTATAACTGACTTCATAAGAAATATCAGTGTCAGTTTCATTTGCAGTCTTTCCATTTAATAAATGTCCACCAGGATTTACCTCTCTCTCCATGCAGGAAAAGTTTTTTCTACGTATGGTACAATCTCCATAAAGTGTTTCCTGAGATTTGAGGGTCTTAGTCTGTAGGACTAGTCTTACACCCCGACATATCCAGTTACTGTCTTTTGGATGTAGTTTAACTTACAGTCATGCAAGTAAAGCCTCTGTTGACCCACCTTCTCAAATTTAACCTCACAGGGTTCTGTGAAGGATTAAATGAAATCATCTATGCAGACTGCCTGGGACCACATGTCAGTAAGTGCTCAGTAATGGTAATTATTATTTTGTTATTAGTAGGATCCCTAAGGTATTGGGCTGGCCTTGGTAAAAACGTAATGAGATGACTTTGGGAAGTCACAGTTTCCCAGGGCACCTGAGTGATTGATATCCAAGAAAGTAAGTGGAATTGTTAACCTGAGATAATGGGGACAGAACAAGGTTATCAGCTGCCCACATGCAAGATGAAAAGAGAATCAACAAGTGTAGTTGCAGGAAGTACCAGAAAAACAACAGGAAGAAACAATAAAAATAGTCTGAGTTCAGAGGAATAGGAGAAAATAATTTAGAGGAGAGATATCAGAACAAAAGGAAGAATCATTTACTTCTTAGTCAGCAATAGGCCCCTAACAGGTGATAAGGGCAAGCTAATTAATAGAGAGCTCGCCTGTAAAGGGGAATGCAATGAGGAGCTGCCAGTTTCCAGCCTGCAAGGAAGACGGAGCCAGGTACCAAACAGACTGAGAGACAAGTAGTCTTTGGAGCAGTGTCAGCCTTCCAACACAAGTAATTATGGATGATCCAGACAGCAGAGGACAAAGGAAAAAACCAGCCCTGGGAAGGTAATAAATCAGCTCCATCCTGGGTGAGGAACCTGAGCCAATCAAAACAGCTTTGGTCTCATCATGATGACAATGTTAGCGTTTAGTCAGTTTATAATTCAGTATCTATCAACTCCCTTTTTCCACATCTAGTTTTCCTCTTAGTTGTTCTAGAAAAAAAAAGTAATCATCTGTTTGGGAACAAAGAGATTAAATAAGATTTAAGTAAGATCATGGGAATAAAAAGAATTTTGTAAACATATACGTGCTCTACAAATGTGAAATGCTACTATTTTTAAGGGAATCAGGTTCAAATGTTGCTCAGAGAAGGGAGTGTTCGAGTCCCATGGCTGAGGTGAGCAGTTCTGAAGCTGAACACAGTGGGGAGTTGTAAAAATCACAGAGACCAGAGTAGATAGAGACTATTGCTAACTGTTGAACTTCTGAGCTCTCCACCCTGGCTCTCACCCTCCGTCACATCTCCCAACAGCTTTGAGAGAGAAAGTGTTTGGTATTATTTATCTTCAACTAAACTTGTAAGCTGAAGTGCAAGGGAAAAGCTAATGAGTATTTAACCATTGTATTAAATTAATAACTAATATCTAGATACAGGTAATTCAGAAAGAAGCACTGAGAGTAAAGCGCAGGTAATCATCTCTCTCTTCCAGCTTCATTTGCATCAGAGAAAGAAGAATTTCTAAACAGAAGAGAAGCGAATTTATGGGGAAATATTTAGTAGTAGGCTGAAAGGAAGGCAGTTACAGGAATAATATCTTAAGTTAATTTTATCATGAACATAGCAGGAAGGTCTTGGAGGAGGCTTTTGGTGCTAAAGTAGCCTGAAGCTACAAGGCCATAGAAATGTATCAGAAAAGATGCTTGACTCTGCCTGTAAGATTCAATATAATTTTCACATATTCTGTAATTCAACAAGGATCTTTTGAGTACTTACACTTATGGTGCTGTGTGCCTCATGGAACTTACATTCTGGAGGGTAAGACAGACAGTAAAATAACAAACAAACAAATCTTCATATTTTCAGGTAATGATAAATTCTGTGAGGACACATTGGGAAAGGAGATGGAGAATAATTGTGTACTCACAGTGTATTTGCTCCCCCTGCACTTCACACAGTAAGGGTCCACAAGTGCCAATAAGTAAATGACTGCCTTCTTCCAAGTTCGAGCCCTCGCTACCTCAGGCCTAGTATATTGTCAGTCGCCCTTTAATGGGTCACTCTGCCTTCATTCTCCCTTGTTTTCAGATACGAGGCACACCACTGCCGGATTTAAAATGCTACTTTTATCATGCCAGTTTTCTACTCCAAAACCCTCAGTGACTTCCTATTGCTTTTGTTTTTTTTAAAACAAAGTTTAAAGGAAGTGGTATATTTATCTATCACTGAATCTTATTTATTGATTAATATTATTCCTCTCCCAGGTCTTACTAAAGACATGTGGTATCCCTTTAGTATTATTATTAACCTAAACAACTTTCCCAGAAGGAAAGTAATAAACAGGAAACTACATTTATGTCACTACAAATCTCTAAACTATGGAATCACTAAATGTTAGCAGTAAGAGTGGTCTTGGAATCAGTCGAGATCACCTTCTTTATTTCACAGAAGAGGAAACTGAGAACAAGCAGGTATATCGCTCAGATGTGGATACCCAGCCCAGTGAAGGCCCGGTCATAACTAGAACTCAGCTCTTCTGATCCCCGCTTTCCTTTCCACCACACTACATTATGCATACATGCATTTCTACATGGCTTAATCAGATTATATATGCTACTTTGTGTCTCTTCTTTTCTGTTTATATTACTCTATGTACTTATATTACTCGATGTGCTCATTTCCAAATGTGGACATAATCCAGGTTCTTGTCATTGGTGGTAGCTACGTAGCATTCCAGCATATCCAAATAGGCTGTGGTCCTTTATGAACCACTGCTTTGAGTTGCACAAAGAATGAAAACGAGCCTACACCAATACTTTGTGTTAACTATGTTTAATAGTAAAATAAGAAGAATATCTGCAGCTGCTTTATAAATGAAGTTTAAAAAATCATATATTCTCAATCTGGTTTACTCATATTTTCTTTTCTAAAAGCGGACCTGCTCATTTTGTGTATTTTCTAAGTGCTATTTGCATTTAAGTTTTTTTTTTAAGTATATTAAAAGGTTAAGGTATAAATATATATGAAGTATGAAATTGTTTGAATTGAAACTGTCAAAGTCATTTACTAGTGATTCAAAATGTGTACATATTTAGGTTTTTGATTATTCTTTGTGTAATTCATCTGTTTGATCATGGCTATTCTGCATTTGAATATACAAAACAAAAAAAGAACTTTGGAAAGTATTCTTCTTCTACCCTTTCCATCTAGAAAACAGAGGGAGTCTTACAAAGGTGAATACCTCCAAAGTTCATTCACTACTTCTCAGAATGTCTCAAGATTAAGGCATTTTATTTTCTATAGCCTTTGGGAAAATTAAGCCAAGATTGATAATCTAATGTTCGTATGGTGGCATTGTAGTATCTTATTACTATAAGAAAAAGCAGATTTAAAAAAAATTCTAGTTCAAAATTAAAAAAATTTTTTTTAATTTTTTTTTTAGGGGGACAGTAATTGCTGTCTGGAAGTGGGATTCAGCTGTAACAAAGTCCTAAACCCTAAAATGCAGAAGTAACTTTGGAACTGGACAGTGGATTTTGGGGAGAGTGTTAGTGAAAGCCTAAACTTGAAGAAACCGTTAATAGAAACATCATGATCTTTGATATGGCTGCAGGTAACGGCTTGCAAAAAAATAAGGTAATGTTATTGGAAATTGGAGGAAAGGGGACTCTTGTTATATAATGGCAGAAAGTTCAGTAACACTGTTGCCTGCAGTAACTGAAAAGCAGAAACTATGTCTAATGAACTGGGCAATCTAGCTAGGGAGATTTCCAAGCAACAGTTACTTCTTGTTGCTTATAGTAAAATGTGAGAGGAGAGAGGCAAACTGGGGGAAGAACTGTTAGACAAACAGAGACATAATTTGCTGGTTTTGAAGATTCTCAGACTCTCTAAATGGCAAACAATGCTAAAATTAAGATGTAGCTTCTGAGCTACAAATCCATGGCACTGCTAGTAAAACATGGTCCTAAGATGAAGCCAAGGGTATGACTATAAAATCTGTTGTTAAAATCTTAGAAAGATTTAAGGTTGTGCATCAGAATACTATTAAGTCAGACAAAAGGCCCTCAAAGGATATTAAAGGTATGTTTCACATACTCTCTCAATAAAATGATAAAGCATCTAGGAAGCTTAAGGACACTGTCCCTCAGTCATCTCATCAGAAGTCTAAAGTAGCAAAGAGCTTATCTGAAAGATATTTGAAGGTGTGGCTTTCATCTAATGGAGTGGACCCCAATAATATTTACAGAAGACTCGTAACATTTTTTAAGTAAGTATGTATGCAGAAATATTGGCACCTTGAACCAAAAGGGATAGAGAGAGTGCAAAATGAAAAGAGGCCTTGGGACCCTCCAAGTTCCACAGACAAGAAGTAGGCTGAGAGAACTGCTCAGCTGTAAACATGGGCTATCTTTCATTATAAAAAAAGGAGGAAGATTTAGAGGTCGGAACCAAGACTCCAGAACATGGAGCTGAGAGCCAGGGAGAATTATTCTCAGGCTTTGAGACTTAACCAAGGAACCTTCAATGTTTGTTCAACTGGATTTCAGAATTATGATGAACCAGTGACTCCTCTGTGCCTGCCATTTTCCCTCTTTTTGATCAGGAATATCTATAGCAGTTACCCTGTTACACCTGTCTTACCATTGTGTGTTGGGTATATTGGGGGAGGGGTGTGCAAATAAATTGTTGCTTTAGTTTCACAGGGGAAGAAGAAGTGTACTCTAGGCGCTGTACTTAACGAACTACACCCAAGGAGCCTCAACTGCATCTGGACCTGCTTTAGACGATAAGGTGTTAGACTTCAAGCTGATGCTATAATGAAATGACTTTTGGTGACTTCGGGAGGAAGTAAGCATATTTTGCCTGTGGGAAGGACCTGAATCATTTGGGACCTGAGGATGGATTGTGTTTGCCAGCCTCCGGAAGATAGCCCTGAATTATCCTCGCCTCCTATTATTCACACCCTTGTGTAGGCGCCTCCTACACTCTGTCATAGTTGGTCTGTGTGACCAACATCATGTAGCAGAAATGACGATGTGTTACTTCTGAGATTAGGTTATTAAAAAGACTGCAGCTTCCATTCTGGTATCTCTATCTCTTGGATAACTCCCTACTGGAGAAGCAAGCTGCCATGTTGTAGGTAGCTGTAAGGAGAAGGCCACCTGGAAGACTACTGAAGCCTCTGGCCAATGGCCAGCTAGGAACTATACCGTGCCAACAAGCATGTGAGTGAACTTGGAAATGAATTTTTCAGCCCTACGCTAGCCATGAGATGACTGCAGCCCCAGCCAACATCTTGACTGCAATCTCATGAGAGTTCCTGAGGCAGAAACACCTGGCTAAGTCACTCTCAGATTACTAAACCTTAGGAACTGTGTGAGATAATAAAATGTTTGTTTTAAGCTGTAAAGTTTCAAGGCAATTTATTATGCAGCAATAGATAACAAACACACCAGCCCAAGAACCAGGACTGCCCAGCAGAAGCTGGGACTAAAGAGGGAGGAGTTTTCCACCTGCAGTTAGAACCACAAAAAAGATGCAGCCACAACTGGAGACACTGCCTGAAACACAAGGAGAAGGGAAGACCTAGCCTCTCCATGGCCCCTCACCTGCCACCCTTTCCTTCATTGGCCAAATCAAACCACAAAGAAATCAATGAGGGAGCCTGAGAAATGTCATTTGCAAGGAACAACCTCTTGTAATACAGAACAGGGCAGAGAGAGAGAAGGAAATTAACCTGAAAACAAATAGGCAAATTACCAGCACAACCAGGGACCCTTTTCACATGGAATTCCCAATGACTTTTTTCAGACCCTTGACTCCAGTTTGGGAAACAGTGGCCTAAATGGCTCTTCCTCGTCTCTGCAAGTCTGAATCTTAGACATCCATTATCATTCACGTTAAAGGCAAAATTTTTCTCCAGTAACTTTTTGTTCCTTATTACCTGGGGTAGCCTCATCTTTTCTCAATTCTACAGCATTCAGTTTATACCCATTTTAGGCATTTTCAAACACAACTTACAGTTATTTAGTCTTATTGTCTCAGCTTCTTGAAGACCAGATCTATTTCTGATGCACTGTTGCATATTGCCCCATCATCATAGCATCTAGTACAAAACCCTGATCATAGTTACTATCAGGAGGTATTAAGCAAGTGAATGAGAGAATGGATGAATGTCAAAGTCAGTGGTAGAAATGGTATAAAAATCTATTACCTTCATCTATATTACTGTTAAATCCCTTTTATAGTTTTGGCAGAAACAAGAGATTCTAGAATAATCTTCCTATTTTCTTGGCTGGTTATATCTTTTGAACTCCTTTGAACCTTTTCTTGGGGGAAGAGAAACAATAAAATTGCAAACTGGTTTATATCTGAGCAGGAATAATTATCCTGTGAGAGCAAAGTCCTGCCTGGAACCTTTCAGCAGGAGAAGGTTTGGAGAACTGCACTTGTCTCCTCTCTCAGCTTTGACTACGCTGAGAAAAGTCATCTGCTCAGTAACAAAGGAAAGCTCAGCATTTTGCAAAAGTGATTTCCTCTACTTCCCTGTCTCTCTTGCTGATGCCTTGATAGAGAGGATACATGCAAAACAGAAAGGATGTTTTCAGATAAGCTCCTCTTAATTCAGGCCTCTTCACTTCTTGCCTGGATTACCACAATGCCTCCAACAAGTCTCCTGGCATCTTTGTTTCCAAAAACAAATCTTAGCTTGGCACTCTCATGTTTAAAGCTTTTCAATAGTTATTTATTCTCTTCTGGATGAAATCCAAACTCTTCATGATTTGACCTTGGGGTTACTTCTTCAGCCAAATCTTTTCTTACCAACACCAGGCTTTCCAGTCCTCCCCCTCTTCCTTCTGTCTCTCTCCTTCCCCTCTAACCTGCATCTTCTCCTAGCTCAACCCAACTCATCCTTCAAGATTTGGTTTCAGTTGTCTCTCCAGGAAGTTCCTCATGAGCCCTCACAATAGACTGGGACACTTTACAGACCTCTTCCGCCTTGGGCAAGCTGCTCTCTAAACCTCAGTTTCCCAGTCCAGAAAATTGGGATAAAGTAGTGTATACTTACCTCAGAAGCCTGTGGCAAAGGGACCTGGAGTTTGTCCTACTAAGTGAAGTAAGCCAGAAAAGAGAAAGAAAAATACTACATGATATCAATTATATGTGAAATATTTTAAAAAATGACACAAATGAACTTATTTACAAAATGGAAACAGGCTCACAGACGTAAAAAACAAACTTAGGTTACCAGAGGGGAAAGAGGGTAGGGAGGGATAAATTGGAAGTTTGGGATCTGCAGACACTAACTCCTATATATATAAAATAGATAAACAAGGCCCTACTGTACAGCACAGGGAACAATATAGTCAATATCTTGTAATAGCCTATAATGAAAAAGAGTATGAAAAGGAATGTGTGTGTGTGTGTGTGTGTGTATGTGTATAACTGAATCACTATGCTGAACACCAGAAACTAACACAACATTGTAAATCGACTATGCTTCATTAAAAAAAAAAGAAGCTTGTGGCAAGGATTATAGTTAATGCAAAATACTTAGCACAGTGCCTGAGATATATTGTGTTGCATATTAGGTGATAAATCGTAGCAATTATTTAATCCAATCTTTTCATTATGTTTGAGAAAACAGATCGAGAGCAGTCAAGTGATTGGCTCAAGTAGAATAAAAATAAGTGAGGGGTGGGGTTATCTGATTTGCTTATGCACGTTTACAAACCAAATTTCAAAGTGAGGAAGTTAGGGGGAATGGACTTCAAATTTAATATTAAAATAAAACATTTATCGAGAAATAAACTTGAGGTTGAGAGTAGATGCTATACTATCAAGTAAAATGGCAAATCAGGGCAACTTTCAAGACAATTCAAGATATTTGAGGCTTAGAACTGAAATGTCTTCTTAACTGTCTCAACTTGCTAATTTACTTTGTCTTTTTCTTTCTATATTCAATGAAGTAGTGTCTCCGCGTTCACTAAATAAAATGGTTTGTAATGTCTTAACCTTTTTTTTCCTATTGAATTAAGAACAACATTAAACCATTGACATGACCTGAAGAAAATCAATATTGTCCCCGGGCTCAGGACCACTCACTCTACAGCTTAATTGGTGGGTCCTCAGCTTTCAGCTTTTGACTCTAGACTTGTGTTATTCAACACAGTAGCCACTAGCCACATGTGGCTATTAGCACTTGAAATGTGGCTAGTCCAAATTGAAATGTGCTGTAAGTGAAAATACACATGGATTTTAGGGTTTTGATTGAGAAAAAAGCAAACTATCCTAATAATTTTTTACACTGACTATATGTGAAATAATATTTATGTTATATTGGGATAAATATAATACACGATGAAAAGTAATTTCACTTACTTCTTTTTACTTCTTTTTAATGTGGCTACTGAAAAAATTTACTTACTTCTTTAGCTCATATATTTCTACTGGACAGTGCTGTCTAGAACCTGGGATTTTTTTGGAATCAGGTGCGGAGCATTAGTCCTAAGGCCGAACATTGCCCTTTCCTCGACTTTCTCAGTCACAGGTGATGTAACGTGGTCACGCTTCCTGGAGGCCAGGGGTCTCCATTATCCCATTCAGAATGAGTCCAGAAAAGGATGAAGAAGTTAAAGAACAGCTTTAAATGCAGATCACTGAGTGAATCCACATTTCATGAGTAGAATAGGTGAATGAGGTGACTCAGGGCAGCCTCTGCATTCACTTTGACATTCCTGGTGGGCTCTCCTGTTTTACTTGGATTATCTCTTTAATTGTCACAGCAACTCTAACATTTAGGTGCTATTATTACATACATTTACAAATGAGTAAATAGAAGTTCGGGAACTAATAGGCTTGGTGTGGAGTTTTGACCTAGTTGGTCCACCTGTCCAGCTGTCATCTCTAGCAAGATTATGAGCTCCTTGTATGTCCTGTGTCTTGTCCTTACATGACCCGACTGACACATACTAGATGAGAAGAATGTGTAGTAAAATGCATATGTAGTATTACTTCGACCATGTAGGAAATCTGTCTATCTATATGGAAAAGTCTGGAAGGAAATACATCACAATGTTAAAAGATGGTAATTTTGTTTTTTTTTAAGATGGTTAATTTTGAATGGTGATATTATGGGCATTTGGTGAGGGGTAACATACATTAATTTTTTTTTTAATCTTTACACTTTTCTGTATCTTCCAAACTTTGGAAAATGTACATATACTGCTTTATTTCCATTATTCTTTAAATCACAAAGAATGTCATTTTAAGAGAATGTAGATGGTTGCTGACATGTTCCCTGTGTGCTGAGATTGCTCTTTAATCTCCCCCCCATGATGTTTCCCTTCCTCTCACAGCTGGTGTCCCTCGCCTTCATTTTGTTTCTCCATTTTCTCTCTCTCAATCTCACTCTTCTAATTTTTCCACCTCTCCCTCCCACCTCCTCTCTCTCCTCCTCCTCTTTGAGAAGATTGACTTTCAAATGAAATGTCAATCAAACGTTACTTCCCACCTGGTTGGTTTCAGGCAGATTCCCATCTGCCTCTGGAGTCCCAGGAAGGTGGTCAGGTTGAGGGTAGGGTAGTGGAGGGCAAGACTTCTAAAAAGGATGGAGACGTTTTGGATAAAATAAAAATGGAGGAGGACATTAGAGAGTGACAAAAGCATTGGGAACAAAGGTCTGAGGATTCTCTCAGGGAAAAGAGAGGTGAGCAGAGGGTCTCTTATCTTGTTGGGTCTGGGGATTGCCATCTCCCAGTGCTGGGGAACTCAGAAAGGATGTGGACCTTAGTTGATTTGAGCTCCTGGATTGAATTAGTCCTGGTTGTATAATTGACTTTGATATGTGGCCTTTGGGTCTGAATTGGGTTTAATAAGATTTAGCTGCTTCAAAGGGCTTTATAAGAATTCATTTTATCCTTCAAATCTGATTTCAAATGCTGCCTACTTTAAGATGCCTTCTCTGACTTTGGTGCTCCTCCTCCAGCGCTCCTGTTGTGCCATAGTTGATACATACCTTATTCAAGCAATTACATATATTGTATTTTATCTTATTCTGGAGGAAATGTGCCTTTATTGTCTTGCTTCAGGAATCTTTAGGGATATACATGTGTCTTATTCATATCTGTATTCCAGGCCTAGAACAGACCAGGAATACACTGATTTGAGCATGTAAATACTTAACAATGATTTTTAAAAGTATATTAATAGTTAACATTTTTGTAAGCACTGTAGCAAGCCCTATGCCCACAGTTTCATCCACCAGACACTTTAGGAGGAAAGTACTTTTTGATCCCCATTGTACAATGAGAAAGAGTAATAGAAATTAATCTGATCTGAAGTCAAGTTTGATCCAAGATCAAATAGTAAGTGGCAGAACTTCTACAGGCTTTTGGCTTCAAGA